TCAAGTAAAGCTCTTAGGTGAGCATGACTCATAGCCACAACATGCATGCATCCCAGAGTATGACAGCAATAAAACAGATTTCTTTGTATTGCACTTCTCTCCTCTATCTGCAAGGCTTTCCCCCTCACTTACTTGCTTGTTCAAATTCTTCATGTTCTGTAAGGCAAATATTTACTTTTTACACAGTCATTTCTCTATCCTTCACCAATACTCAACTGTGTAGAAAATGTCAACTTCACTTCTTTATTGTTCCTTGTACCCATTCAGACATATCCCAATTCCACACTATTTGGCCTACTGGTGTTCATTTTAAGCAATCAGCCCTATTAGAGTCTTTGGTTGTTGTGTGTGGATATGGATGATGTTTATGAATTCTCCAAATAATTGCCATGCCTTCTTCACAATAATGAAAGAGGAGGGCCTGGATTTTCTTAGTAACTCTTAAATAGTTAAGTTTTTTTTTTTTTCATTTAAGAACCTCATCAAAGTCATACATGCCTGTGGTGTGGGCACATAATGCAAGCAGGTTTGTTAAGAAAAACAGCAATCCTTGCAGCTCTTGCTTGAAAGTAACGATTTTTCCCTATATTTTAACTATTTGATATTCATTACCATTTCTTTCAGTGGTGTGCTTATACTACAACTGTCAGATTTTGCAGGTTGGGCATTATTCACTGACTTGAAGAGTTAAAGAACAAAGTATGCACAGCTTTATGTCAGTCCTCTCACTACGATGAGTAGACACCTAGTCTAGATATGCATAAGCTAATATCTAGGAAAATGTTTTATTGGTATTAATATATAAGATAAAATAATATCTTTTAAAAGTTTATTTTCTTTTTATTTTTCCTTCTTTCTTTCTTTTTTTAATTATTAATTGTATTGCATTATGTGACACAGTGTTATAGGCACTGGGATTCCCCTCACCCCTCCCCAAACCCTCTCCCCATGGTGGATTTCTCCACCTTGTTGCATTACCACAGTTCAAATTCAGTTGAGGTTCTTTCATTGGAAGTATTTACCAAGCATAAAGTCCAGCATCTTATTATCCTAGTGAGTTCAACGATTTCTTGGTGAGACCATCTCTGGTCTGAAGGTAAAGCTGGCAAAGTATCGTCCCAATCAATTAAAAGCCCCAACATAACATCAACAACAATTTACAACCTTATGGCATTAATTGACATGGTATTGATTAACCAATATGTTAATAGGAAAATGCAGGTTCTCAACTGCATCCTGTGACTTCTTCATAGACATTTCAGTTTTGGTTTATATTCAACCGGGTTCTATACACCTCAAACTGGCTATAGATTACTATTCAGCTGTCATGTGTCTATTTTCATCTTAGTGATAAAATCATATCTTTAACTTCTTGGTCATCCAGTGGTTATATATGAATTTGGTTATTACAATTTCAATGTTTCATACATACCACTGTAACTATGTAAAAGCTACTAACAGTAAGTAATTCACCATTTTTTCCCCTGCACAACTTTTGGACATAAAATTCTGGATGAAAATAAGTTTCATTTAGGGTTGAGGTTTAGAACAGTGGTTAAGACACCACTTGTGATGCCTCCATCCTATAAAGGAGTGTATCATTTTTCTGCTTCTGGTTCCAGTTCCCAGTTCCTGCACACCATGGCAAAAAGCAGACTTGGGTGCCTGACACCTACATGGGGAACCCACTCTGTGGTCCAAGCTCCTGGCTTTGGTATGACTGAGCTCTGATTTTTGTGAGCATTTGGGAGTGAAATAGTAGTTGGAAGATCTCTCTGCCTGTCCCTCTCTGCCTTTCAAATTAAAAAATTAAAAATAAAATAGCTTCATTAAATTTTTTTGAACTTTTTTCATTGTCTCACTGATTTTACAATTCTATTGAGAAGTGAAGATTCTGGTTCATTCTATTTCTTTGCTGCATAACTTTTTCTCTTCAGGAACGTAGAGGACTTTCTTTTTGTTCCGAGAGTTCTGCTATTCAACAGTTATGAGTGGGTTATAGACCAATTTATTTTTTTAATTAATGTTTTGGGAACTTATTCCCTGCAATTCTGCAAAAACATTCTTTAATTGTTTCTTTGAATTTCTCCCTTAGATTTTCTCTTTTCTGTAAACATTCTGCTTGTTATTCTGATGGTGGATCTCTTGCATATGTACTTTAATATCACTTTCTCTCTACTATTTTTTATCCTGTTTTTTGTTTCATTCTCAAAAGTATTTGACTCAACTTTACCTGCTAATCCTTCCACTGAATACTAAAATTATTATTTTTTTAATTTCCAAGAACTTCAGAATACTTTGTTTAAAAAATCATGTGATCTGCAACTCACGATTACATTAGTTCTTAATTCTTTGAGAATTCCCTCCATCCCACCCCATACACTTTACTTCCTCCAAGTGACTATTTCAGTGTCTCAAATATGAAACCTTCCCTCAGGTGTTTCCAAATTACATTCACATCTAAGGATGGAGGTCCAAATAATTCAATGGACTCTACTGAGTGTGGGTTTGAACAGAGGGTGATCTGGCTGCTTAGTTCAATTGAGGAAGTCTAGATGTCAATTGCTTTTTTATTTCCCTCAAACTACATTAGTTGGCTTCCCCAAGACAACGTCAACATGCATATATTTACTTTATGTATTATCAATTCAATACTTCTACTCTTATCTACTCTCCTTTATTCAGATAGCCTACTTTGTTCTTGAGAGACTGAATCTCAAGTTTCTTTTTGGGTTGAGAATGGCAGAGTCAGCTGGCTGCATGGAATGAGGAACAGAGACTGAGTTTCTGGTCACCTTTTAAGTTAATTTTTAATCTTTCTTATTTTAGACATATCCCTTTTAACCTCACTCTCAGATGGTACATGAAACCAGCAGTTCTTCAATATTTAAGGGAGTTTATTTATAGTTTTCACCTCCTTGAAAGAGTGAGCAAGTGAGAGATCTTCTATACATGGATTCACTCCTCAAATGGCCAGAAAAGCCAGGTTTGGGCTACTCTGCTCAAACCTGTCTCCCATGTGGGTAGCAGTACTTTGGCCATTTTCCACTGATTTCTCAAGTGCATTATCATAGAACTGGATTAGAAGTGAAGTGACTGGGACTCAAATTAGCACTCACAAGGGATACTGACATTGCAGGTGGGAGTTTAACCCACTGTACCAAAATGGTGGTCTCTCTCCAAAACTATTATTTCTGCTAAGAGTTTCTAAAGCCTAATCGCGAACTTAAAGGTATACAGTGCATTTCCCCTGATTCTCCACAGTGATATCATGAGACCTTACAAGTGGAATACCCTTTCTGCCAGCTGGGAAGCGATAGGTCAAGGTGTATGCTTGTGGGGAGCAAGACTGGGAAGTAAATGCATCATTATGAAGCCTTTATGATGAATTCTTTTGCGCTGTTAATTATCCTCTCACAAATATAAGATTTGTCTTTATTTAGGTTTGTTCAACTGCATTTTTAAAAGTTTTTCTTTTTTGAAGTAAAGAACAGCATTTTATTTGTGTTTATAAGTGTGTTCAGCATACTAAAAAGTACCTTGTAGAACTGTTTAAGACCTTAAGCTTTGTATTTTTATGGCACATAACTGTGCCTAGAATATAGTAAAACACTTAAATAACCAATAAATTTTCTGAATATACTTCAGAATAGTTCCAAAAGAAATACATTGATAAAACTTAAACAATTTAAAGAGAGGGTCACATTTCATTCATTTGCAAAGTAACTGCTACATGAATGTAAAAAAGATACTATTTTATTTAAACATAGTCTTTGAACATGGTTTAAAAAAACAATCTCTTTTGTCTAATTTGACTTCTCAATTTCAGGCTCAAGTGGACAGACAGGTTTGTTTCAGAAGCCCAGCCCTTGAGATCAAGGAGGACGTTTTCCTTGCTGTTGCTGGCTGTACCATTGCCAGGAATGCCAGCATGTTAGTTTTTAAGAAAATGCAGCTGCTGCTTTCTAGCCTATTCTGGCTACTCCAGATTTTGGCGGCAACTGCAGAGGGTTGGGAGGGAGGCAGGGTAGGGAAAGCCCACCGCCAGGAAAGTTCCTTCGTTAACTAGGGCAGAGGTAAACAAATCAGTTTAGTGCAAAGGCCTTTCTTTGCAGGATGTATTCTGTTGTGGGGAGTGGAGAGGATAGAGAAAGCATCTCTCCTGGACTGCTTTGTGATCCTTCATGATGTGAGGAGAATGATTAATTTCATACTATAGCATGGTTGACACTACTTACTTCAAATTAAACATCTTTTTGAGTTTTTGCTAAATGCAAGTAGCTGTGCTAGTTCCCAACAATAAAATACAAAGTAAAATAATTTTTGTTTTCAGTAGAATTTGCTTCAGATTTCCTCATCATAGAGCCACTAGACATGCTGCCCTCCAATCTGCGAGCTTCTGATCACTCTCCATCTTACAGGAGACAAAACTGAAATGTCTTTACTTGGGTCCCAAGATCTTCCATGATCCATCTCAATCCTGTTTTCCCAGCTCTTTCTGCTTATTCTCAGCTTCTTGGTATGTGATGAATAGGCACACCACCAATATTCATGTGCCTATGCTAAGACCCTTAGTTAGTCTTCATCATTCAACTGACATGTCACCTTCCCTATGACACAGCCTGTGAGTTCTCCTCCTTTTCCTCAGATGGTTAAGGGCATTTCCTATGAAGTTTCTTTGTGTCTATCATTATTATAATGCTCAGAGGTAAAATGTTGAGATTGCTTGTATACAATTTATTTTCTCCTATAGCAGGAAACTTCCTAAAAGGAGGAAGTATATATACTGCTCATCTTTATATTTTTATTAGCACATGCTACAGTTTTAGCATATGCTACAGTTTTAGCACAGAATTGTTAATGGGTTATTGAATGAATGGAATGAACTCACTCATCCCTCTTCACTTTTTATGTTGTGTCAACTGTCAATTTTAAAAATCAAGTCTTTTTTTAAATCAAGTCTTTTTTGCCCCATTGTTATTTATCAATTCTCTTTCCAGAATGTTGTCAGAAGGGTATCTCAGTGGACTTGCCTACTGGAACAATGTACACTGGAGCTGTGCATCTTGTAACGAGCAGGTGGCTGGGGAAAAGCAAGAGGAGACAAATTCTATTGCTGCTCTCTCCTATTCCTCAATGGATGAAACACAAGTCAGAAGTGTCTATGTGAGTTGCAAATCCTCTGAGAAGTTCATTCCTTCAGTGCATTCAAGAGAGAACCAACACAGAAATCAGAGAGTCACTGTGTTACAGACAAATCCCAATCCTGTGTTTGAAAGTCCAAACTTGCCTGCAGTTGAAATATGTAGAGACCCGAGCAGAGAGACCTATTTGGTTCCATCTTCCTGCAAAAGTATCTGCAAGAATTACAATGACTTACACATTGCTGGTGGGCAGGTGATGGCTATTAACTCAGTGTCAACTGACTTCCCTTCTGAGAGCAGTTTTGAATATGGTCCTTTGCTGAAGTCATGTGAGATTCCTTTGCCCATGGAGGAGTCCATTTCCACTCAGCCCAGTGACTTTCCCTTAAAACCTATCCAGCGGTACTCATCTTACTGGAGAATAACAAGCATTAAAGATAAAAGCAGTCTGCAAATGCAGAAGCCTATGTCGAATGCAGTGCTGAATGAGTACCTGGAGCAAAAGGTGGTGGAGTTATATAAGCAGTACATTATGGACACTATGTTTCATAACAGTTCTCCCACTCAGATTCTGGCATCTGAGCTTATCATGACAAGTGTAGACCAAATTAGTCTTCAAGTATCTAAAGAGAAGAATCTGGAGACCTCAAAAGCTAAGGATATAGTCATTAGCCGCCTATTACAGTTGGTGTCAACTGAGATCAGCACTCCTAGTCTTCATATTTCTCAGTATAGCAACATGAATCCATAGGAAATCAAAGTAACACTTTCTTCAGTTGAGGTTGTGAAGGACAGTCATGAGTTAGAGAAGTAAAGATCACCTGGAAATCAGGAAGGGATTAAGGAAAAATCTTGACATTAATCACATGAGGAATGCGGAAAGAGGAGCTGTAAGAAATGATTTCAAAGAGAGATTTGTGTAGCAGCAAAGGAAAAAAAATAAAGAAACACATCAAAACGAATGGCTAATGATTCATTCAATATGGTATAACATTGGGCAAGAAAACAAGCCAAGTAAGAAAGAAACATACTACAGCAAAACTGAAAAGCCAAAGGTTTCAGGATAAAGAGTACCCAAGAGTATTTGGTACCCAATTAAATTCTTTCAAGTTATTCCTGAGGGAAGTGGACTGTAGGAGACTGCAAGGTAGAAAGTTTAAATATTTTTTTCAAAATGTATGCTTATTTCTTTTATCTATTCTGTATAATTTTAGAATGTATTGTAAACATTAAAACTAGCACACTGAATTGTGTTTTTGCCTTCTAAATAATGACTTAACAATAGCCACTGAAATCCCTAAATTCTGTTTACTGATGGAGCTGAAGCTTTCTAGATAGGAAATACCACATAGGGAACACTAAACCATTTAGTTTTATTTTGGTAAATGTATGATTTTTCTTAATTGTATTAAGCTTCTATTATTTTCCTTTTTTACTCTTCCTTTACTCCATGCCTTCTTAACTGGGTGCCAAGAAGGGCTACAAGCTGTAGGGTCCCATATTAAATTCTGTAAGAACTTTCACTAGAGTGGTAGTTTCATAAGAGCTTCACTGACATACCCTTTGCTCTAACTCTGAAATTGGTAAACTATGTGTGGCCAATTCGTCAAATCTGGCCTGTTACCTATTTTTGAAATCTCTGCAAGTTAAAAATATTCATATTCCACTTTAAAATGATTTAACATCCACAAACTAAATTAAGAGCAGTATATGATGGCATGCCAAAATTACCTAAGATTCAAATCCTGTGCCCATAAAGTAAAATTTTATTGGAACATAGCCATATCTATTTATTTTATGTATATCTGTGGCTGCTTTCATGCTAGAGTGGCAGAATTGAGTATATGTGACAAAGAACACAAAGCCCTGGAAAGTCTGCAGCATGTCCTATAAGGGCTCTTCAAAAAGAATGTGGAAAATGGAATTAAAGATAAGTCTATTTTTATGGAAATGCCTTTTGATATTTATGTATAAAATTTTCATAATAAGCATTTCCATGAACTTTTTGCATCTGGTCTCCTAACTGGTCTTAAGCAGGAGTCTGCCAATCCTGCTCAGCAGCATGCCCTGTCCATATGTGGTCACTGGACTTAAATATGGGTTTCCAGGGGAAGTGGATTCTGTGATAGAAATTGGTACTTGAGGAGTGGCCACGGGAGCAAATTTGAGGAAGATGGGGAGGCAGTGAGCTGGATCACAAGTGGAACAACTAGAGCTTGAATCAATGCTCAGCATTACAGGCAGTAATTTAATCTGTTGTGCCTGTCACTGTATTTGTCTCACTTTTCTATTCCAAAGGCAATTAATTCATTAATCTGTTTAGTATCATATTCCTTCCGTTTTCCTTTATGGCATTTTGCCTGACAAGCTATTTATTTGTATCTCTTCTCTTCAGAACTTTGATTTATTCATGCTTCTCCACATCCTATGCATTACTTGTATAAAGTAGGCACCCAATTAATATCTCTCAAATGGATTGATATGATTTGAGCATGTTTGATGCTGTATCTCGTGGTTGGAGTAAAAGAACATCAAAATGAGAACTGTATAATTCTGGCTAGACAATGCTGTTGAGATTTCCTAACTAAAAAAATGATCCTTTTTTGGTAGTAGGTTAGCATATACAATAAAATGTATGATAACAAAATACTATCATAAATATTTTGCTATTTATGAGAAACACTTATTTCAAAGTAGACTGCTTCATTTTTAAAAATTGGCATTTATTTGTAACTATATTGGGGGGGTGAATATCATTTATTAACCATGTGGAGGGAAGATACATGTGTGTACATGAACAAAGGAGTAGGCTCAATCTCCACAATTTTGATATACTGTTGGAGAGACCATGAAGATAATTAGAGAATAACAAAGCTACTGATTCAGACCTTGGCAAACTGGTACAAGCAGCAGTATGATTATAGATGACTACAGCTGAAGTGTGAGAAGTGCTGAAAGGAGACATTGGGGGGGTGGGTATTGGACAATGGAGGAACTCAGTGTAAGCAAAGAATCCAAAGGAAAGTGATCACTGAAGTTACTCTTGAAGAACAAGACAGCACCTACGCAGATGGAAGGGAGAGGTGTTTGAGCGCAGGTGTTAGAAAGGTGCTACAGGGAATTACAAGTTGATGGCTGTAACTGGAACCAAATGAATGCATGAATAGGCAATATTATTCGTTTGTTATTGCTAGTATGAGAAATTACCACAAGCTTACTGGCTTACAACAACACAGATTTATTCCCTTACAGTTCTGAATGTGAGAAGTCCAAAATCATTCTCACTTGTCTAAGTGATGTAGGCAGGACTGCATTCCTGCAGGAGGCTTCAGGGAACAATCAGTTTCCCTGCCCTTTCAGCTTTGAAAGGCTGCCAGCATTCTCCTGATTAGCAGCTGTGTTGTCAACCACACTGACCTCTGCTTCCAACATCACATCTCCTTCTCTCTAGATCCTAATTCTGCTTCATAAGAAACTTATTGTTAAATTGGTCTATCTGGATAAATGAAGGTAACATCCTCATGCCAAAATCCTTATGTCACGTCATTTGCTGTTTTTGTTTTTTTATATTTTCCATATATGCTAATCTTTTTCTTTTGCTCATTTTAGTTAGAAGTAGTCTGGTGTCTAATTCTATTTTTTTTTTTTCATTATAAAAGTAGGACTATGAAAAAAAACAAGGCAAGTGAGAGATTAGTTTTTAGTCTTCTTCAGCTGAATGAGAATGAATGTAATACTTATTCTTCATTTTGAGAAACACAGGCAAAGGTCAAGATTCAGGAAGTGAATATTTCAGATCAAATTATAACACAGATTAAAGATTGAAAGATGGCTTTGTACCATCATTATATCCCAGGGAGTAGTTTTGACTTAGAAAACTATTTTGTTGAGCAAGAGAAATCAGATGGTTAGAGAGTTGTATAGGGGTCTCAGAAAAATCAAGAACCTGGCTCTGTTTTCTGAATCCCTTTTGACTCCTGCTCCTACCCTGGAAGGGGTAGGAAAGGACTGGAAGTGTGCAAATGACATCACAGGAAGTCGTAAACAATAACAGAGGGCAAGATAGGAGTTTGTAGGTAACTTTCAAAGTGGCAGATGTGAGATTACTAAACTGTGACACAGTCCTGGAACTGAAAACCCAAGAATGACTGTAGTGAAATTTTCTCTCACTGTGGGAGAAGAGAGGTGCACACTCAGAAATTCTGTAGTACAGAAAAAGGAAATGACAAAGAGAGAGGGAGAGCAAGCACAAGTGTGACTGGGATCCAAGTGCTTGGGCTCTCATTAGCTACTCCCAAGGGTGCATTATCAGGAAGCTGGAAATAGGAATGAAGCCAGGACTCAAACAGAAGCACTCATACATGGTATGCAGCCATTTCAAGGCATATTAACCACTGGGACAAATGCCCACTTCATGTTTATATTTTAAAATAAATGGTATTGAACTATTGCATTTTTGCTTTGTTAACTACACATGTTTTCATAAGAAGTGCTGCCAAATCAATGTACCACATATGTTCTGTGAAGATGCCCTGAGTTCCAATTGTACTCCAGATTCCTTTGGGTTGGGAAGTATGGTGTCCTACATAAATATTCTGGCAAAAGAAGGCAATCTTCTCTTAAGGGGTAGAATGTTCACAATAAATAAATGAGCTGCTCTTCTCTTTTCCTTTCCTCCCCCATCCCCTGGCCCCAGTGGTATTATTCAGTTGAGACATGTGATTATTAAATGGAAATGAAGTCTGCAAATTACTCTTCTGCCAGAGGTGGCTTGCTAGACTGACATTGACACTTCATCTTATCCATTGCCTACAAATTCTGTATCTATTGTCCACAAAGTCTAGACTGAACTCACATCTGAGTTTTGTTTCTCTAATTTCTTGACAAAGTTATTGTGTTTGTAATTTTATGTGTCAACTTTATCTCACAGGACAGCCAGCTATTTGGTTAAACATTATTCTGGCTGAGATTAGCATTTGAGTTGCTTGACTAAGAGAAAACAGACTGCCCTCTCTAATTTTGGTATGCCTCAAGAAAGCAAAAATGACTTGATATCCACTCCTATCTTGACTTAACTAACTGCATGTAGTCTAAATAAAAGAGATTGTATAGTAACTACCTTCTTTTCAAAGGAAGCACTGTTTTAGTGATAAAAGCAACAGACTGAACAAAAATAAACCCACACCATTCTGAAAACATTCAGGGGTGCCATTAAAATGAACATATTGCCATTATCAAATAATGAGTCACACTTGCTAAGAAGTTTGACTTGTCACCAGTCCTCCTGGGGTCATCTCCCAAAGTTCATTAGCAGAAGCAAGTTTCAGATGTCATGTGGGCAAGATCTGGCACTTTTAGTCATCTCTAAAGTTTCTCCACAGTCTTGCCGTTGCCATTTACTTTCAGCCTTCGCATATCCTAGCTGCTTTAAGCTTCTGTCAAAAAGATATATTTACTATTCTTACTATCTGCTTCTGCTTAAGATAGAATCTTTTAGAAAATAGTTTTCATTTTCAATAGTGCTGCTCTTCAGATATCTTTTTTTAGATGCTTATTTAATTTCTTTTTATTTGAAAGGGTGATTTACAGACAGAAGGAGAGACAGAGAGAGAAACATCTATGTACTGGTTTATTCCCCAAATTGTCACAATGCTTGAAATTGAACAGGCCCGAAGCCAGGAGCCAGGAGCTTCTTGCAGGTCTCCTACACAGGTGCAGGGTCCCAAGGCTTTGGGCCATCCTCAACTGCTT